GTGGAGGTTCTTATATCTGCTCTCTGAGATCAGAGGTATGTGCCATGCAAACTGTGTGGAGCTATGTCAGGGGAGGTTCATGTTAGGTATTTGGAAAAAATTCTTCAGTGAGACAGTGGTTGAGCATTGGAACAGGCTGCCCAGGAAATGGTCATGGCACCAAAGACTTACAGCATTCGAGAAGCATTTTGACAATGCACTCAGACGCATGGTTTAATTTTTGGGTAGTCCTGCATGGAGCCAGTAGCTAGAGTCAGTGATACTTGTGGGTTCCTTCAAACTTGGAACATTCTACCACTCTGTTGAAAATATCATTTCATCCAATATTTAAATTACATGGATAATAACAAGAAAAGCTTTTAAGTGTTGGTTTCTTGTGTGTTTACTGTCCCCATGTTTTATAACAGCACCTTTGCATGCATTAGGATGAGTTATATGCTCTTTACTCACACTATAAAAATCTACCAAGATATCATTAATTTAGAATAATTTGAATTTGCAACATAGACTTCAGATTATCTTTTTTTTTTTCTTCCAAATTTAACTGAATATTAAACATTAAATCAAACCTTTAATATAAATTAGTCACTCTAGACTACTGTTACACTCAGTGAAGGAAAATAGGCATGTCTGGATGAAAATTTATCTTATTCTAAAATGGGTATCTAAGAAAGAGATAAGATAAAACTGCGTCATCGAATTACTGACACTTAGGGGTCTTACTGACCATTAGATATAGCAAATGGTACCATCAACTTGGCAGCAATTCAGGAAAGAAATCAGAAGAACAGGGCAAAAGTGGACACGAGAGAAGGAACACAGGAATGGAAATTCTGTGTAAAAATTCCATTAGAATTGAGGTGGAGGAAGCTCTGAAGGATACTGAAATACAGAGTAGGAAAAAGTGCAAGAAGATGAGAGGTATGAACAGTTTTTAAGCAATTACAGGACAGCTGGACTTGACTTGTGTAAGCATCTGGGACAAAATACAACAAAGAACGGACAGTCCTATAGCAGAGGAAATCACAAAAAGTGAGGAAAATCAAGTGAGACTCTCTGTGTGAAAAGCCCAGGATTTAAATCATATAGTCACAAAAGATTGAGACTGCAAAGGAGAGCATGGCTAGGATAAGATCCAGAAGAATAAATACTAAGACAAAAGGAGTTTAGAAAGGATGGAATTAAGGGAACTAAGTTTGGGAACAAGAAGAAAAGTGTGTGTGTGCTTGCCATGTGAATCTCAAACAAAGCAGAAGGTTCTACAGACTGCTTTCACTTCAGCTGCCATATCTCCAGATCTTTTGCACAGACCACACATAATCATCCTTATAATTATCCACACAGCTGTGAACCTCCTTTTCTCATTAGTTATTCTACCCATTCAAGTGACACTGAATCCTGAAGTTTCAGTCCTGCATCCCAGGGAAGACAAATTAACAACACATAATTTCTCTTCCATTTCCATCCTTTCCTAAAGCCAAACCAACAAACAAATCTACTGGGGGGGTGGGGTGGAAATTGAGGTAAGCAAAGCCAAAGACTTCAAAGTTAGGAAGTCCCATAAATGGAACAGTACTGAAAGCTCCTGAGTAATTATGTCATCAAAGTAAAGGTTTGGATAGTTTAAAACAAGTAAAGCATTCTATAATTCAGTGAGCAAGGAAAGAATAAAACATGGCTTATTAAGTGAGTGCTATTCGTCTTGTGAGTTGGTTGATAGGTCATGTAGAAAAAGCAAACATGATCATGCAAAAACTCCATTATAACACACGGGACAAATCTTAGAACTGGTATTTTCCAAGATTTTTTGAGTTGATTTTAAATCTTAATTGCAAATCCACTGTATAGATTATTTTTCTGACAGCTTTTTCTTATATAATTAAGATCAAAATAGAATCTGTGATATCTTACACAGTCATTTTGAAATTTGACATGCAAGCTGTAAAACAATTTGATATGTAGGCTTTTGAGAGATTTCAAACAAACAGTGTCTTAACACTAAACTCACTGTAAAATATTTTATTTTATTTTATTTTTACAAAACAATATGGAATGTAGAGCGCTTATTTCAGTATTTTATATCATGAATAATGATGTAAGGTCTTCCTAAGGCCAGTGGAATTATCCATGTAACCCTACTTACACACAAAAAATATCTGTACAATTAACCCAACAGGATGTTCTTTAGAAATGTACCAAAGCAAATAAATAAAACAGAACTCAACCTCTCTATCCTATGACATAAATTCCATAATATACTCCAGAATATTAAAATTAAGGTATTTAACTTAGATATGTGAAAATACTGTAACTACAAATCCATAAATAGCCCCAACAGAGAAGTTCTGTAAATACATATATTATTATCAGGAAAAAGAATTCCAGAACAGAATTTGGGTATTGAGCGGAAGGAAACAACTAGAAAGAAAGGTTTGGGGATACAAGTTCCAAGGAAAAAAAATGGGAAGAAAAAAAAAAAAAAGTAGTAACAAATATATTAATACGGAGCATAAAACCAAAACTTCCATGTTGACTTGCTTCTCACATAACATACTACCAACGCTACACTCCTGGAGATCTCCTGTTCTCTACATTTGAAATATTGTGGCTATGTTTCATGATGAATTCTCATTGATTTCACAAAACAAAAATGTTTCCCAACAGTTCTAATGTTTTAAAATAGCTGTAAAATATGTAGTGATATGACCAGGGTTTGAAACTAAAAGGCAAGATTAAGATATTGGGAGGAAGTTGTTTTCTCAGATGGCAATAAGGCACTGGAACAAGTTCAGAGAAGCTGTGGATGTCCCATCTCTAGAGGGATTCAAATCTTGGATGGATGAAGCTCTGGGTGGCCTGGTCTACCCCACAGCAGTGGGGTAGGACTGGATAATCCTTAATGTCCCTTCCAATCCAAGTCATTCTATGATTCTGTGGCTCTGCAATTATATCGTTCTGTGATTCTGTGTTCAGGACAAAATACCAAAGGGAGCCATGAGCTAGCAATTTTATACTCTCTGTACCAAGAAAATACTAGCCTTAAGGCTTGCTGAGAGTTAAGAATGTATGGCTGTTTACATATCTGGTAGCATCTATCATTCAGGACTGAAGTGCAGTTATATATATGTGCACAACTATGTATCTCCATAATGAAGTATTAAAGTTTGCATCATTTACAAAGAGATAATTTCTACAAAAAAAAAGAGCAGATGTTGAGGCATAGGAAGATTTTTGGACCATGGAATCAGGCACTGGGTAGTCAATAACACCACCAACATTTTTGCAGTATTTGATCATCTCTTTTCAGAACATTCAAAATTGATATGGATAAACCAAAAGGTCTTGGACAGAAAAACAAAAATGAAGTCTCAGACTGTAAAATATCTTAAACATTTTCATATTTCAAAGGGGCATTTTCATTAATAACACAATGATATCTAAATTATTTTGAATTTTGGCAAACTTTAGCATATGACTTCAACAAGCCTAGTATCTACTGATTACTAGATGTTGTTTCACTATCAATAAATGAAAAACATGAAAGAAATAGGCCATAAAATCCCAAAAGGAGTAAATTAGATATGTATCACAGAGTACTTATGTGATGTGATGATTTATTGGTGATAGGTGGACGGTTGCACTGGATGATCTTGGGGTCTTTTCCAACCTTGACAATTCTATGAGGAAGTTCATATAAATTAAGTGGTGCCATCAAAACCCTGTAAGCATCAGCCAGTGTGTAAGATCTGTGAAGATGCTCAGCAGTGCACAAAATATACCATCTATACAACAGTATTGTATTTGCAGCAGTTTTTAAACTATTGTGTTCAGAAACCCTGGAGAGTAAACCTTTTGTCTTACCTCCATTATCTTAATATTTTCTATCAAATCCTATCCTCTAATGATCTTTGAGTTCCCTTTCAATGTAAGCCATTCTATGATTCTATGTTTCTTATTTAGAATAACTTCCTATGTTTATAGAAATCATAGCATCTCTGATCTTTTACCTAATATCATATACTGCCATTCAACATTCAACAGCTATTCGACATTCATTTACTATGAAAAGAACTCCACTGCTAACACAATTAAGAGCTTAAAGCAGAGAATGTATGCTTTAGAATGTATTCTCCACTTCTGTAATTTGTACTATGAGAAAAAAGCTAGAATTTGATGTATATGTGCAGCTATGTTAATCTAAAAAATGCAGTTATCTCTTTATCTAAACTAAGTATTTGATATATTTTACTTTCAGTAAGATGCTAAGTTATGCCACAAGAATGCTAGATGTCTCTTTTCTATTTAGAAACAGACCTGTATGTTTACTTGCCACAGAAGAAGTAGTAAATGACAAGGGAGCTAGAAATAAATTTACTTTAACCATCGGGAGTTTGGGCAGTCAGAATTAAATCAACAAAGAGTTTCTCATCCTCATAAGACAGTACTTCTGGAAGCTCTGTCAGAGCTACATTTCCCTCTCCTAATAACTTTAATGTCTGTTTGTGTTGGGAGTGGGACTGAGAAGAAAAGAAAAGGTTCAACATTCAAAGACATTCCATGTGAAGCTATCAGAACCTGCCTGTGACTTGCCGGTTCGTATGGGTTTTTTTAGGTATCACTCAGTTCATGACTCTTAAATTCTTTTCTCTAACACCATTTAGAGGCAGTTCCCAGAGAGGAGACGTCGCTTTTTCAGCGGTCACCTGACACCTCAGCGCGCAGAACATCACCGCCTCACCCTCGCATTTCGGTTAACTTCTCCTAAAGTTGGGTGGCCACAGCTGGCGGCGCAGCAGGCCACGTTCCCCCGGGAAGCCGGGGCCGCCCTCCCGCTCCTCTCCCACAAACAGTGGCGCCTGCAACGGATGAGCCCCGTACCCCAGCTCCCAGGAAACTTTCCTCCCCGAGCCCCGCTCCCGTAGCTCCTCCCAGCCGCGCGGCAGGGGCACGGCCTCCCGATCCTCCCGGCCCGCGCAGGGCGAGCCAACGGGTTTTCCTACCTGTGCCCTCCTCCGTCACCTGTTGCAGGACACCCGCCGTCCGCGCAGCCCCTCGGCGCTTCCTTCTGCTCCGGCGGCGCCAGGGGCTTCTCGGGTTCCCGGGCGACCTCCATCCTGCCGGGCGCCGCCTCCGCCTCCTCCTCTTCTTCCTCCAGGGACTCCACGTAGAAGACGGTGCGGGGCGGCGGAGGCCCCGGGCCGTGCCCCCCGCGGGGCCGGCCGCCGGCGGGCAGCAGCGTCCCGTTGGGCGGACTGGCGGTGGTGGCCGCCGAGGAGGAGGCGGAGGAGGCGGATTTCTTCCAGAAGGCGCCGTTTCCTCTCTCCTGGCTCTTCAGCAGGCGGCTCTGGCTGGGCCCCCAGTGCTCGAAGCTGCTGTCGGGCGGCAAGCAGCCCCCCCCCGCCGGGCCGCCCGCCGGCGAGGGGTGGCTGAATAGTTTCCAGCGGAGGCGAAGGATATGTTTCACGTCGAAGTCTTTCCTGCCGGAGCCGGACATGGTGCCGAGGCGGGCGGAGGACGCGGGCTGAGGCGGGACTCACGGCGGCCGGGCAGGGCCGGGCGGCGGTGGCGGCTGCTCCAGGCAGCGCTGCAGGGCGAGGGCTGGCAGCCGGCGGCTGGAGGGAGATGCGCGCACACACCAGTGCGGAGAGAGAGGGAGGATGGATGGATGGAGCGATGCACAGAGCCGAGAGGAGGTAGAGACACCCAGCACAGGGAAGGGAGAGGAAGAGATGCCCAGAGCTGACGAGAATTGCACGGTGATCAGTGGAAAGGGGTGGAGAGAGAGGCAGAAATGAGAGACACCTCTCAGGGGAGACAGGCACTTGCGAGAGAAGAGCGGGTGAGAGGCTGTAAAGAAGCGGTAATTTGATGAACGGAGGGGCAAGCGGAGCCGGCGGCCGGAGAGGACCGGCAGCGGCAGCCACAGCAGGAGGCAGGTGGCTCTTCCTCTGCCTCCTGGAGCTCCGTGCCCGGGCGTTGCTGGAGGAGGAGAAGTCACCTGGAAGCCTCTCTCCACCTCCCGCCTTCCCATCCCATTTCTCAGGGGAGTCCTATGCCTGCAGTTATCTGGGATAGCAAAGCCAGAGAGCTGGCACAGGGTTAAAGCAGGGTTCCTTTATATATGCTGTATGTAGGAGGCGGGGGGACTGGGGAGGGGGGGGAAGAGAATCTGTGAGTCTGTCAAGGTCCTCACTATGCAATTTTCTGTGTGTCTCAGTGCCTCTCGCCAAGCCGCCCCCTCCCTTCTATGTGACGCAGATGTGCTCTGGGGCCATCAGTGTGAAGAGACACAGGGAAAGGGATGCTTCAGTCATCCTCATGCAAGTAAGTCGGCAGGTCGCTAATTGTCTTTCACAGCCCCTGCTTCTCCCTCTCCAGCGCCTTGCTATTTTGGCTTGTATGACACTATGTAATACTGGGAGAAAGATACATGGAAACAAATGCAGCAGTAGCAGTGAACACAAGAGCATGAATCACAGGAGTACAAACTTAATAGACTGCATGCTGACTGGATGAGGTTACAGGTTAACGATTTATTCTGCAGGCTCCATTCATTAGCATCTTGGCTCAGTGTTGCTGTAGCAGTAGAAAACATAGGCTAGACAAACAGCGTGTCAAACTGAAATAGTACTGCACATCTGTTTCTTACCTTTTATGTGGGCTCTTAATGCAGTCTGACAGTGCTAAACCCAAGGGAAGTTCCTTCATAACAGAGAAATCTGTTTGGGAACATCTGCCCACATGGGATGGATGTCACAAAATATTCTGTGCATCTGGGACATTCTGGATTCTGGAATTAAAAGCTGTGTGGTGAAATGTGGGAGAGGGATACTACACTGCAAAACTACACTGCATATCATCACCTGCAAGCTTATAAATTACAGTGCGTGAGAATTTGCCAGAAATAAGACAACGTACAGAATGCCTGAAATCCACCAGTACTTTAGAAAGTAGTATTTAAAAAAAAACAAACATGTGTTGCTAGGAAAGTGTTGGGAAAAAAGTTTCTTTGAGGTGCACTCCGCTTCAGTCTGCTTCATGCACTGCTGACGCACTTGTGAGCTACCAAAAATTTGTTATACTAACATATTATGAATTCAGGAATAAAAGTTGAAGAAACTCTTTCCATCAAGTTGGAATGTTCTGACTCCTCATTCACAAAGCACTACAGCTTTAAAACCCCTTCAGAGAAACAGAGAATTCAAACAGTAATTAACAGTTTTGTTATTGTTTTATTTAGTTTGTCACTGCGGCTGTACTTCTAGTTGCAAACCAGTATTAGGCTTTCTGTTTTAGCTTTGATTAAGTTCAGTATTGAACAGAACAAGAAATTCAGGACATAAGCTCCTACTTTCTAGGGAAGAAAAATTTCTACTGTGCATTTTAAATATTGATTTCTTTCACAACTGGACTGCAAACTCCCTAGGGTCTCAGTTTTGCCTTCAGTATTCAGAGCTTAAAAAAACATAAAATAATAATAAAAAAAAAAAAACTTTAAAGAAAGCAGAAGAGACAGGAGCGGAGAGGAGAGAGGAAAATTGCCTATTTGCCTATTTTCCTTACCGTGTTGTAATTCTTAGATAGGATTAATCCTTGATTAATGTATTAAGACTTCAGTTAATCATTTGATGTGAGTAGTTGATAGCTTTTTATTTGGTTTCATCTTAACTTTTTTGCATAGGTTTTCTTCAGTTACTTAGATAAATATAAATGTCATTATATTGTAACATTTTTTTTCTAAATGTACTTCAGATGTCACTCAGTGAATATATAGAGATCATCCAACAAAGTGATTCAGTCCTTTATCAGCTTTCTACTACAGACTAGTAAGCAATTATGAAGAAAAAAAGTAAAAATTATTACAGATTGTAACTGAGTCTCACATTATTTTTGCCTAATGGTTGAAGTCTCAGCTCTTCAGTGTATTCTGTGTAGTTTTATATGCATTTTAACACTACTTAATTCCTTCACATTTCAGTATATAAGCATTTTTTGCAACTAAATGATACATTAATTTAGTATATATACCTGATTTTTCACTAGCGTCTTGCAGTTAATTTCGGGTATGAAAATGTATAAACAGTTCTCTATCATCAAAAGAAATCTAGAAAGCTCTCTTAATCTTATTCAGAGCACATTCACAACTATAAAGTATTTTGTCAGTGTACAGTGAAGAAGAGCTAAACCAAAAAAAGCTATACTGGAGAAGTATCTGTTGTCACTACATATACTTCATGAATAAATCGTTTTTCCTAGAAAAAAAGATGAAACTGTTTTTCTTAGTCTTTCAGAGTTTCTTATCTTCATGTTTCCTTGCAAGTAATTTTGACATATGCCAGTGAGGTAAAGGACGTATTGTAGACTACCGCATGACAAAGTGAACACAAATATCTTTTAAATTACAGTTTAGATTCCTGTTACATAATGTGATTAATTCTATAGGTTATGTAGACTTGTACCATGTGAACTTTCTCTTCCTCCCAGGAAAAATAAAAATGATTCTTTTTTGTAGGTCTAGGCACCTTGCTCACATATACACAGCACGAACAATTACAACAAAAACATTAGTTTATTAGTCAGCGATGTCTTAGACTATGTATACAGGTCGTTGACATGAACATGTGAACAAATATGTGAAAATAAATATCTCTTAGTTACTGAAGAGAAACATTTTGATATCTTAAGTTACCCTCCTTACCCATGAAGTGTAACCAAGATAATAATAAATACGGATAAACTGTCAAGTCTGTTACACACTAGAACATACTGTATTGCATTTATTTTTGTTTATTGAATGACATATTGCTGAACTCTTCACCTCTTTCAACTTCCCCAGATTAATAACCGCACAGAGCTTGAATAACTTTAGCAGCTTTGCTTGAAAGTGCTCATGGCTTCATCTGTTTAGTTAGGTTAAGAAATAAAAGAGGATAGTCTTTATATCTCTGTTGTGTAAGATTTAAATGCATTGCAAACTAATTAAATTCACAGTTATGTTTTGGCAAAAAAAAAAAAAAAAAAAAAAAAAAAAAAGATTTCTGCTCATTCTTTTTAGGAAAAATGACCTAGAGATATATATTCTTTTAACAAATCTCCCAAGTAATAAAAAACAGTTCAGAGAAAAGGACTTCGTAGTAGGTACCCAAATTGGTCAAATTTGATTAACCCCCTTTTTTCCTTCTTCCCATTGCGAACCTTGTTGATAGTGGCCTAATTCTTTGGTTGGTTTTCACATGTTTTACATCAAACCATTTATATGTTGTGCCCTGTACCCCAACAAGAATTGGTGGATTGGAAATACTGGTAAATTGTAGTTTAATTTATTGATTGCTCATGGGCCAGAGGAGGGCCACTAGGATAATCAGAGAGCTGGAACACCTCTCCTATAAGGAAAGGTTGAGGGAGCTGGGCTTGTTTGTTTGGAAAAGGCTCTAGGGAGACTAATTGTGGCTTTCCAGTACCTGAAGGGAGCATATCAACAGGAGGAGGAGCGGCTGTTTGCAAGGGTGGATAGTGATAGGACAAGGGAAAATGATTTTAAACTGAGGCAGAGGAGGTCTAGGTTAGATGCTAGGAGGATGTTTTTCATGCAGAGGGTGGTGACTCAGAAGAACGTGTTGCCCAAGGATGCTGTGGATGCCCCATCTCTCTATGCGTTCATAAGGCCAGGCTGGATGTGGCTCTGGGCAGCCTGGTCTAGTGGTTGGCGACCCTGCAAGCAGCAGGGGGGTTGAAACTAGATGATCATTGTGATCCCTTTCAACTCAGGCCATTCTATGATTCTTTGATTTGGTTACCCTGTGACTGAGACAGCAGAGGGGCAGTCTGACAAAATGGCGTCTAACACCGAATTGCATACAAACCAAAAACATGTAAATGAGTTCTTTCATACAGAAAATACTGCATCCACTGACATTCATCGATGCTTGCTGAATGTTTATGGAGACCAAACAGTGGCACAATGAGGGCATGGGTGGTGTGTTTCTGCAGTGGTGACAGCAACAGTGGGTCACCTCTGCTGTGCAGACTTTTATTAGTGTGACATGCAGGCTGTTGCTCATCTCTGGTAAAAATGCATAACCAATGGCTGTGACTGTGTTGAAAAACTGTGTTTTGTAGCTGAGAATTTGCTCTATCAAACAGTGTTATTGTATCTGTTGTAGTTTCCATGAAAATAAGAGGCATTACTCTAGGAGGCATTACTTATGGAGTAGCATGCATAGTAAGAGAAAGGATGATTAGGAAGAGAGAGGATATATGTGTCAACAAACTAAAAGCATTAATGGTAATTCTATAATTTAATTTGACATGTAGTTATAATGCAGAAGATAGTAAACTTTGCTGAAAAAAAAAGCATAAAGAGGAGGTCACTGTGCTTAGATAATGAGCAGTTTTAAAACAGTTCTCATTTGAATGTGAGAATTGTCATGTGAATAAATGAGCATGTACTTCAGATATAAAGATGCTGATTTTGTAGGTGTTTAATCATGCACT